GGTTTTATTCCCAACTGTAAAATCAGTGTGGACTCTAGGCATAGAGTGTAGAATCTTGTGCCTCCCTTCTGGGTTCCTCTCTCCTTCCAATCAACAACCAACCAACCAAACAATAATCTGCCTCCCTCATCTAAATAAAACCTGTGATTGCCCATTAAAGTCATCTGCGTCTATTTGTTATCCCAGCACTGATTGTGCAGGAACAAGCAGACCGGACCCCTAGGATTTCCTATCCTGTAAAACTAATAAGAATGTAAGCCTGCCTGCTCACTGTACCTCCCAGGCCTTCAATACTGCAGGCTTATCCTAGCTCATGACAGGTCACGCCCCATTTTGGCATCTAGACCCAGAAACCTCTTAACAGCCTCAAATAAAGAGAAGAATATATGCACAACACACAAAACACTATTCTTAAAGAGCTGAACAGGTAGAATGTAAAAGTCTACCTAGAGAGGCCAGCATATCATGCAAGTCTTCCTTGTCAATGAAGCCATCTCTGTTCTGGTCAATCATGTTGAAGGCCTCTTTGAACTCCTGAATCTGGGACTGATCAAACATGGCAAACACGTTGGATGTTGCGCGCTGAGGGCGCTTCTTGGTGGTCTTGGTCTTGGCCTTTTTGCTCGACATGGTGGCTGTTTAATTCTGGAGTTAAAAACAAAAGCAAAAAAGAATGAATTAACCTAGAGTCAATGAGGGAAAAAAAAATTAATGTGGAATTATTACATCATCTGCGTAGGTACACACTTGAACTTTATTTTCAATGTGAAAATAGCCAAGAAAAGTTTTGAAAAAAAATTAAGAAAGAGAATACGCATACTTTCTGGTGTTAAAGCATGCAGTTATAATAATTAAAACAGACTAGTGAAGTAAGCAAAACAGTGTAGTATAGGAACTGACACGCAAGCCAACGGAACAGAACTGAGAGTTCAGAAATAAGCTTACCCATTTATATAGCCAACTAATTTTTTACAAGTATGCCAAGTCCATTTACTGACAAAGAGCCTCTTCAACACAATACTGAGAAAAGGGAATTTCCACATGTAGAAAAGGAAACAGGATCCACGTCTCATCATGCACAAAAATCAATTAAAAATGGGCTGAGGATCTAATTATGAAAACCAAAACCATAAAATCACTGGAGAAAATACAGGCATTAAGGCTGTCAGTACTGCTTTTAACAATTAATTAACTAATAAAAATACAAACAGCAAGATAAAATAAGTATATGAGATCCTATAAAAAGAAAAAGACCTGTTTAAAAAATTGCAGAGACAAGTTAACTCACCAGGAGAATACCTTTGGAAATGAAGTTAACAGTACCTACTTCTCCACAACTTCACAGAAAAGGCAAATAACACAATCATAAAGAGATAAAAGGACCTGAATAGACATTTTACCAAAAAGGACATTTAAATGGATATACAACACATGAAAAGGTGCTCGACATCATTAGCCATCAGAGAGATACAAATCAGAACCCAGGAGACTCCACGACGTTTCACTCCCAAGACGGTTACCATAAAACAAATGAACAAATGTTGAGGGGGATGAGGAGAAACTCGACTCCTTATTCACTGTGGGTGAGAACACAGTGTAGCTGTTGTGGAAAACTGTGATGGCTCCTCGAAAAGCAAAAACAGTACAACCATGTAATTCAGTAATTCCACTTCTAGGTTTATCTTCTGAAGACTTGGATACTGAGTCTTAAACAGATACATGTGCACCCAGGTTCACTGCAGCACTATTTCTAAGAGCCCAAAGATGGAAACAGCCAAATATTCACCAACATATGAAGCCCAACAAAACTGCCACGTAAAATGGAATACTACCGAGCCAGTAGGAGAAATGCAGTCCTGATCTGTGCTGGAATACAAATGGGGCTTGAAGACATCATGCGGAGTGAAACATGTCAACTACAAAGGCACAGACACTGTATGATCTCAAATAAAACAAAAATCCAAAAAGGGCAGATGAATGTAAAGAGACCAGTTTCTCAGTGGTTACTAAGGGCAGGAGTTTTCTATTTCAAAGTGACATTAGACTCAAATAAGATAAAGATGTTAAGAATGGTCAGTGCATGGCATATGTTCAAAAGGCTGTCTTTTTACAAGTCACCATCAAAACCAACTTCTCAGTAATACACTCCTTTCTAGGTTCATCTCTACTTCCCTTTCTCATGGCAAAATTTTTTGGAATAATCTAATTGCTACCCAACTATTTACCTTTTCATATTCCCAATCCTTAATTCTCTGTAATATGGAACTGATGGTCATTTTCAGCACTCTACTGAAAGCTACTAAGAATTTAACTGTCAAAGTGAATGCACATTTTCCACTATTTTTTCCACTCCGTTTTTTTTAACTTGTAATTTTAAATGATATAAGTTAGGAAGTCAAGTTCAAATCTCAGTTCCACCCTTATTGTTGCTGTTGTCATGTGTCATCGAGTCACTTGCAACTCATAGCAACCCTATGTACAACAACCCTAAACCATGCTCTCTGTCCTGTGCCAATCTCAGTGTCTCCAACACACCTACCCTCATTACCCCATTCACTGAATCAATCCACCTCATAGAGGGTCTTCCCCTCCTGTGCTGTCTCTCCATCCTCCCAAGCATGACGTCCTTCACCAAGTACTGATCTCTCCTTGCAACATGCCCAAAGTACATCAGACAAAGCCTCAGAATCCTTGCCTCCAAGGAGCTGCCTGGTTTAACCCTCTCCACGATGAACCTGTTTATTTTCTTAGCAGTCCATGGTACATTCCATACTCTTCTCCAGCACCACAGCTCAAAGGCATCAATTCTCCTTCTATCCTCCCTAGTCATTGTTCAGCTCTCTGACATATAGCAAGTGATTGCAAAGACCATGGCCTGTATCAGGCTTACCTTAGTCTCCAGAATGACATCATTGCTCTTCAGTACTTTGGAGAGGTCCCTAACAGCAGACTTTCCCATCACACTACGTCTTTTAACTTCCTGGCTACTGGTGCCAGGAGTGCTGACTATGGAGTTAAGCAAACTAAAGCTGTGAACAATATCAATCTCTTCATCATCCATCCCGATGCTGTCACTGGCCCAGTGGTGAGAATCTTTGTCTTCTTGACATTGAGCCTCAATCCATATAGGAGGCTGCAGTCCTTGACCCTCTGCAGCAAGCGCTTCAGGTCCTCCTCACTTTGAGCAAGCAGGGTTGTGTCATCTGCATAACGTAGATTGCTGATAGATCTTCCACCAATCCTGATGCCACACTACTACTCATACAGCCCAGCCTCTCGGATAATCTGTTCTGCATATAGGTTGAAAAAGTATGGAGACTGGAAACATCCGTGGTGTACACCCTTCCCAATTCTGAACCATGAAGTGCTTCCTTGCTCTATTCTGACAACTGCCTCCTGATCCTCCTGATCCAAGTATAGGTTTCGCATTAGCATGATCAAGTGTTCTGGGATTCCCATTCTTCTCAGAGTCAGTCACCGTTTGTTATAATCCACACAGTCAAATG